AAACGTTCAAACCATACATTAATTAAGGAGTAGACATAGGTGTAGAGTGTCTTCTCCTTTAATCTATGGTGAAACAAATTATTTGAGATTAATACATAAGAAAATTCAACATCCGATTTCAGTAAACACAATTATCAATTATCAATTATCAATTATTTAAGATGGGGACGCCACTATGTGCGTATTTTAACCCAAATATGAGTGAAGGATGAGTGTAGGATGAGTGGCGCGATCTTGTAGCCTTGTTAGTGACTAAGGCCGACATGTTCCTTAGACACAGCTGTTAATTCATACAGCCTTTACCATATCGATGTTAAAAATCGGACAAGTACCATGCAACTGTTTGTTAAGATTTTTATTTCATCATAGGTAAACTCCTCGTTTATAAAAGTACAGTTATTTAAACTGTCGTGATTACTTTGTTTGCGTTGTAAACAACCTTTTTATGCAAATATTAAAGTAATTGATTTTTCATTGCTCGCAAAGTTTACCCCAATGCATTTGCTTGCTTCTTCTTTAAATTTTTACATGTAATTAAGTTAGCCTAATTATCTTGTTAACTGAATTATAAATCAAGAATGCATGCGACTGGTACAATAATTTATTTTAAAACCCTGCTTTACCTAATCTATAGAATGTAAATTAAAGTTTTTTGTCAAAACTAACTGCTCAAAAACTGTAAAAACGTAATTAAAAACGTATTTTGAAAATGTGTCTCATTGAGGGGGAATTACAATCACACATCTATTACCAGTTAGGGAATATGATTTTTACTAAAATTAAAAAAAATCTATATTCTTTATTCTGACTCACCTTCCCCCCTACCCACTCGCAGTAGCTGGTCCCCACCAACATATCAATATGCACCGCCTGCCACCGACTGCGCTTACTGCTTAGCCTAATTCGGTTGTACCAGTGACTAACATAACGACCAATAAACAATCGATATGGCAGCGGTACGTCACTTCCTCTTCCCCAAGCCGCCACCGGATATAGCCACTGCCTTCGTGAGAAGCATCACAATAACAATTACCGTATGTGAAAGTTGGCCAATATCCTATACTTGGCGAGGTGTACCACTACCGCAAAACCTATGTACTGTACCAGGAAACGGGATATTGATCAATGTTTCCAATATTTAGTTCACCAGGGAAACATTCATGAGGGGAACTGCTTGGCGCCAATTTGGATAATTATACCACATGCAGCCCCGCAGTCAAGTTATCCATTATTTTTTAAGAGAACAAAATTTGTCGGTGTTTATTTTGGTTTATATAACACACTAGTAGTTTACTTGAGCTTTTCAATGGGCCAGAAATTATAATAAACAGTATCAGCAATCTGACACATACTTTTTCCAATTACCATTGACAATATTATACCTCGTCAAAACCTATTATTAGTTAAAAGCTGTAGGAGTAAATATGATATTTTATGGGGGAAATCTCGAACTATTATTGTTAGTGCTTGAATATCAACCAAACGGCTGCCCTACTGATTCAAATCAGTAGTTTTTCAGTTGTTGAAAAATCAGTTGATTTTTTCAGTTGAGAACCTCGGTCTCAGAGCTGTCCTTGTCTTTGGGCTTTTGATAAATAATGGTCCTGCTTAGAGCTATCTAACTAACTAGCTTATCTAAATATATCTTCTTATTCATTTATCACTCATCGCCATGGATATGAATACGAACTACGGCGTATCCGTGTCGAGTCAAATAAATATAATCTACTTTAAATTCAATAATTTATATAAGCTTAATGGTAACTTAAAAGTCAGGGGGCAGAAACCTGAGGGATTTTATGATTAGGTACCAGACAAAACCCTTATAGGGTCCCAAAGTTTAACGGTAATCGGGTGAATGCATATTGGGCACACAGACAGACAAGCAATTAATTGATTGTGTAAAGATAACTATTGGACATAGACTTAATCAATTTTTAAATATTCCTATTCATTATATTTTTCTAATTACATTTTGTCAACTTGTTCATGAGCAAGGGTAAACCTGATGTTAGAAATTGAGCACAGTACATTATTTTACATAAACCAGTTAATACAATCCATCGTTTGGTTTAACAATTAATTAAGTTGCTAAAAGATAATCTAATCTCGAAAAATACATTTGATCATAAAGTGTATTTTATTAGTTACGTATTGGTTTAATTGACACGAATCAGTGATTTAGGATAAATTTACTGTAGCCTAAACGTAAAAACTGCCCTGCCCAATTAACCCTATCTTATTCAATACAATCAAAATATTTACTAATTTCTTTCAAACAGTACACTACAGGTAAAAACTTGAATCGACTGACTGAATTGTTGATATTATTCTTGCTTTGAACTTTAAGTTGCAAGTTCTTTTTATGTTCTTTTAGATGCTAACATTCGTGGTGATGAACTTTCACTATTACAAATTATCACCACATTGATAAATTTCTACTATTATTAATTAAATTATTACACATAACTACTACCTATCACGCATTTCGTGTTCTATGAGACGGAAGTAATTCACTTGAAAGAACCCCTCGCATGTTGTAGTTGTAAACTAAATTAATTATTAATTAATCCATCCACAGAAAAAATCGCTAGTGGTAAAAAAAAAATAATAATAAAATAGTGGTAAATACTGTAAGCCTAATGTAATATAGTCGTTATTTATTGTATTTTCTTGAGGAGGTGGTTTCAAATCCACCTCCTAAAATAAAGTATAATACTTTATTTTAGTCGTGTTAAATCACTGATATCTAAAACTTACACAGAGAAAAACTGTAATATAATGGAATCAGCCGTTTACAATGATTTATTGTTGATTTACTTTATATTTTAGTGTAAAAGGTTCTTTAGGTCGGCGATGTAATGCGTATGACATTAAAATTAAATATATTTATAATATAAAATAATGACCTCTGACCAGTAGAGATAAATAATTCATTTAAAAATAGTTGTATCCGAATTTTTAATTTTAGCATTATAAGGCTTGAATTAAGACAGAAAGTTATATCCAAAGTAAGTCAAAATAAAAAGAAGTTTTAGAGCAACCTTTACTGACTTAAAAACTACTTGACAATTAATTTTTTAACGTTTTCCGAACGGGAATAAAACTAAAGTAGGCCTAAAACCACAATATAAATTGATTCAAACTAACTAAAGATTGAGTTTTATCATCGTAATTTTTTTTGCATCCCATAATATTTTCCTAATTTAGTTTTTTGAGCGAAGCGAAGCTCTTATAATATATACTCAACTGCTTTTGTTTTACAAATACTCCTCCTGGAACGGCTGAAGCACAGAAAACGTACTAGTACGTTTTCTGTGGCTGAAGCGATCTGCATGAAATTTAGCACAGTCATAGTAACCAACTATGGGAAGGTATACATCTGAAATGGTACAAATCGGACCACAGGGGTTTTTTCTACGTGAATTTAAACTGTTGCAAATTTAACATGGGCCTTATGGGTTAATTGGTCGCCATGACATTATTTGCGAGATAAATAAATAGGTAAACAAGAGTCGCAACATATGTTAGTCAACAAATCATCTAAAATAGCACATTATACAAATACCGTACAGAGAAAAAGCTGAGAACAATTGGATTAATATCATCGAGCATAATTTACTACAAAATGAATAACCAATACGGTACTGTAATTTATGGTCGCCGGAATCAGAATGAACCATCGACATATGATACTGCAAGTAGACAATTCATTTACGTGAAACAAATGTACTATTGAGTTTGGATTGGATATTAAAAGTAAACAATTAATTAACATTAACCAAATGTGCCATTGAGTTTGGATACTGCAAGTAAACAATTTTTTTACGTGAGCCCGGCGTATAATTGACTTTGAATACTGCAAATATACATTCCATTTAAGTGAACCAGAAGTAAGCGTACCATTGACTTTGGATACTGCAAATAGGCACTCCATTTATGGGAATCAAATGAACCATCGACTTAGGATACTGCAAGTAGACAATTCATTTACGTGAACTAAATGTATACTTGAATTCTTAATCTTTGACAGAACTAGTCTGATAGATTGCGTTATAATTAGTTAAATAATAAATAATAATAAATAAATAAATGTACCATTGAGTTTGGATTGGATACTAAAAGTAAACAATTAATTTACATTAGCCAAATATGCCATTGAGTTTGGACACTGCAAGTAGACAATTCATTTACGTGAACCAGACTTATAATTGACTTTAGAATACTGCAAATAGACATTCCTGTGAACCAAATATATCATTGACATTGGATACTGCAGGTATATATCTCATTAACGAGAACAGATGTAGCATTGACTTTAAAAAAGTATTAATATGCTAGCTCCGATTAATATTGCAAGCAGACAACTGCATATTGTACACTTAGTTATCTTAAAATAAATTTTCAAACTATAATTTAATAAGAATTTAATATAGATTTTTTTAAACGAATTCAGTGATATACGCATAAATAACCCAAGTACAGTATAGTATTGGCTACATCAAATCATTATATGTTGTATATCTTCTTACACTTGTTCTATCAGAGGGTTTTTATTGAATTTGTTAACAAATGTCGACCTATTCTTAGAATAAATATATATTTGTAAATAGATATTTTGGAAAACTTAGGGTGGAAAGTACTTTTTGAATTATTTTGTATTAATATATTTGTTAACTTTGGTTTTAAACACGGATTAAAAAGTATTTTGCATCTTTTTAGTGTTATTTTGGTTTTGGGAAAAATAGAATTATCTCGTAGCAAGTAAAATGCATTATTGAAGTGGCTTGCATTATGAGACAGTACTGACAGTAGTAGGACAATAAACGCTTTATGAACTGTATTGACGCAAGCTTCATCTCCAGGATAACTAAATAAATTTGCCCAATAAAGTGTTCATACTGTCTGTTGTCAATAACGGATCGCTTTTCTAAAAAAAAAACAAAAAAAAACTCAACATTTGAGTAAAATAAATAGGTACATTATTTATATTTACTCACCGGTGATAATTCTGCCTCCCCGTCGCTCATTTTGGTGGCGAAGGGGTGAACTTGTGCTAAGGGTACTAAATATAGCCATCCACTCCGGGGCGAAGTTCAAAAAGCGAATGTGAAAAAATGTGTGCAAAAATTAACATGTTTGCTGGTGCATCCGTTATTGAACGAAATACGGGCAGTAACTGGAAAACACAGTGATAAAACAAGATCCATAAACGATGTCGAGAGGGACACAACACAACACTACACAGCTGACGCGCGCTTGAGCACTAGCGTCGTCTGCTATTGATACAGTTGAGGAGGATTAGTTGGCAGAGTTAACGGCAGGTAGCAGCACCGCACGATGAAAATGTAGTTTGCTCTGCTTCCGCCAGATCCCAGCACAGCACACTAAAACGACAAAACGACTTAGCGACTTAGCTGGAGCTGAACAGCTGAGAGCCTGAATCTGAAAGCCACTATAATGAATGAGTGAAAAGCAGAAAAGTATTGAAATATAGTTCGGCCGTTTCAGAAAGCGACCTCCTCCAGCATTGGTTTAGCATTAGCGCGCAGGTCGTTTTCTAAGCGGCCGAACTATAGTAATATCATTCATTGACCATGTCCATATACTATAACAGATATAGCACGATATAGTATATAGTATATAGCAGATATCAATGGTAATATACATCTCAGCATGTGTACTTTAAGATCTGAATTTTTAACATAAATAAAACATACTCCCTTGTGTCGGTTAGTCCATGGCTTGGGTTTGAAGTAAAATATTATCATTTCTCTGTTTTGAAAATGATTTTGTATAGTGTGATTGGATTGGACTCGTGTTTGGAAAATATGATATAACTTCAAATAAAAACAGAGTGTAATGTTTTAAGAGAATATGATAATTTATCATTATCAATTTATAACTCAAACATTGGAACGGATATGTTAACCGAATTAATTTTTCTTATTTGAAGCCAAATCTCACTTAAAAACTCCTGAAGACCTCTGAACTACACCCTTATGTTGGGATACGAAAAAATAATGCTTGAATTCTGTAACATATATCTAAATCGTAGAGAACACCATATAGTTTGAAATACCCCCGCCACAGCAAACCTACAGAGACTAAGCGAATTTCAATTTGTCTGATTAGGATTTTACCACAAATTTTCCATAAACAAGACTTATTCCTCTGTTAAATAACATTAGTTTTATGGAATACCTATATGTTTGCTGTTGTAGAAAAGGTAAAAAATTGTTTTTTACTTAAGTCTAATAGTATAGGATTAAATAAATAAATTTGCCAAATTCTATCAACATTTACATTCATAATCCAGCAATCCACAGGGGTCTGTCCTTGGGCCCTTAATTGCTTTTCAACATAATGATAAATTACCTTTCTTTGCATTGGGAGAGGGGGTTGTTTGCTATGCAGATGACACTGCTCTGATTGGGTTAAATGATAACTTTAAAAAAACTTTAATGTCCTGCAGTGCACTATGTCTCATACTCTCCAAAGGGCCTCGGCGTGGTTCCGAGCTAACTTTCTCTTCCTGAATGAGATTAAGAGTGTCTATAATATTTAGTCTCAGACAGCTTAAGCAAAATGTTACAAGCGTTAAACTACTTGGTAAAACTACTTTTTGGTTAGTGTTGGATCCTAAGCTGGATTGGGAATAGTCACATAACTTTTGTATGTAGTAGACAGACTTTCAAGGATGATTCACTTGCTCAGGAACTTGATGAACTCCGTACCCGAATGGCTAAGAACTGCCTACCTTGCCTTTTTTCAGAGCATAACTCTTCTTTATGGTTTAAGACTTTGGGGTGTGGCACTCCGGGGGAGTCGAGAGGGTTTTGACGCTCCAAATGACGGCAGTCAGAATCTTTTGGCAGGTGCTGATTTTCTAGGCCACTGCAAATCTATCTTTATTTCTGATCGAAAGTGTACAGTTTATGTTAGATATTTTCCATCTCTTCTGTGTATTAAGCAGGAGTCAGGCTCTCTCGAACTCCGAAGTGATATCCACCCTCACAATACTAGGAGGAAGGACGACTTGAATGTACCCTATGTTAGTTTAAGGTCCAATATCTAGCTATTGTATACAAATGAGTTTTTTAACAAACTCCCTTGTACAGCTCGGAGCCTGCTGGAAGCAAAATTCAAAAAGGGGATCTAATCTCTTCTGATGGCAAATCCGATTTACTCATTCAAAGAGTTTTTTTTTTTATTTCACCTGGCTAAAGTAACTAAGTTTTTTTAGTCAATTAGTGCTAAGTGTGATGATTAATAAGTTTTGATTTTGTTTTTCACTTCTCTGCATGGTGTGTTGCGGCTTAGGCTAAGATTTTGATGTATTGACGTTTCCTTGTACATATTCTCATTCACATCAATTTGTTTATACATAAGAATAACTTACAATCATAAATAATGTGCAATGTGTAATTTTTTAATGTTCTCTGTAACTTGATTTTACAACAACGCTCCATTCAATATACAAAATTATATATATATATATATATATATAAATGATCGAAAACATTAGTACCTAAGTTTTTATAATGTTTTCGATTATTTATATAGTAGTAACCCTAATCACCATCATACTTATTATATATATATATTAGCTTTTCACGATGGCTGTAATAAAAATCTGGCATTTTATACGTTTCGAGGGTAAACATAGGGAAAAACAAATTTTGAAAGTGTTAAAATCTTTAAAAAATTAAAATATATAACTTATGAACGGATGATAGTGTTTTTGACCTCTTGGGCCATAAAAATTAATAAGTAATTCGGTCCCCGGTCTAGGTCTTACCATGCCACCTACCGATAGGGCCTAATTAATATAGCGCGCTACTTCCCTATAGAGAAATCTGCTAACTGATCAACGCTTTTCTAATGAGGCAAATAAAAATGTTCTTTATTGTATATATATAGGCATAGAGGTTTAATGTTGGGTAGTGAATGGTTTAATCTACTCACTCACTCACAGCCTATAGGGAAGGTTATTATTTAGGTTATCCCGTATGTTCATTTTCCGGTAGATAATAATTAGTTATTTTGTCCTCTGGGTTATTACACTGAATAAAAGAATATGTCTACAATTTCCCATGCAAGTAGTAAGCAAAATAACTGAAGTAGGTACTTTATTAATTGTCTACACGCCTACACGGATTTAGGTCTGTTGGAATTTTCAGAAATGTTGCCGACGTTACAATAGAGAGTTCTATAAAATTACATTAAAACACCAACAAGGAGGTCGTTCGTGGTTTTTTGTAGTATGACACATTTAAAAATAATTTAACCATGGTGGTACTATAGGGACAAAATGTTTTTTTGGAAACACCCTATAATGTGAGAGTTTTAAGTAAAGTAATGGTAATTAAATTTTCGGGTTTCTATAATGGGAAGTGGGGTGAATATGTAGATTAGTTAAGTTGTGCACTTGTTTAAAATATTTTCAAAATTAGTAATCTAAAAATAGGATTTTGGGGGTGCAATGACGGCCGCCTTTCTGGTTTTCAAGAAAACTCCAATCAATGAAAAATGAAACGAAACAAATCAAATTAAAACAAAAGTGTTCGACATATCAATATGTCATTAGATGTAAGGGAAATTAAATTTGTGTTTTATTGTGGTTTTATCTACGGTATGTTTTTGACTTAGATTTTTTTGGTATACCGTCATACCGTTACTTCTTTTTGCTGGATTCCCTATTAGTAGTGGAACCGAATCCGAGCGACTCTAGCGAGGTAGTGAGAATTGAACGAATAGAATTCTTTGTAATCGTAGTTGGTCCGTTTACGGCAATAATTCAAATCAAGTCCACTTTGAAGTGGGGATGGTATTCTTGTTGGTCGTTGGTCGGGTTTGGAAAGGGTAGGAGTCCTCGCCTCGTTCGTTCGTATTGTCGTATACAAAGGTTGTTTCTGTTTTTGTGTTTGTGAAGGTGTAAGGAGAAGTGGGAAAAGTATGCCTCTCTTAATGAGTAAAAGTGTTAAAGATATGATGACTTTTCATCATTAATATCTGTGTTATCGTGGTGTTTATTTTTTGTGCGTTATGTTTGTTTTAAAACTGCGTTAACGCTTTGGAAACATAACCCTCGGAGTACAAACGTAATGGTGAATCTAGCGCCGAAAATATTTTTGGCGACCATGACTAAAAACAATTGAATCATTGCTGAATCCAAGAATTGCAGTTTGTAAACTATTCCTAGACGAGTAAGTATTATACTTATTAATATAATAAGTTCCTTAAAACCGCAATTTCTATAGGCATGTCATTTATTGTTGGAAGAGAAAGTCAATGGCGATGGCTCCTACTAACTTATGATGAGGTGTCTTGGTTTTGTTTATTTTGCATGCATTTTTATCGTCATGGAAAATGTTTACTTTCGCAAAAAAAGAGTATTGTCCTTTTAACACGTTTATGAATAGCTATCACTACTTGCAAGGAGAGGTTTAAGTTACACATCTAGGTATTGCATAAAATCCTAGGATTTATATCAAGGTGCACTTGGGGATAGGCTAGTCATTTGATCAATCCTATTAAAGGTTTCTGAACTGGAGTTGACAGTTATCGACATCACAATTAAATCTAAGGCCTGTGACAAAAAAATATTTTTACCTAGGCTAGGAAATGCCTAGGCCCAAGCTAGGTCTAAGTAGGCCTAGCCTAAATGTGGTTGTGAGGGAATCAAATATGTTAGCCTAGGCCTGTGCCTAATGAATACCCTTGCACTCTTGCTCATGGCTTTGTTTAACAGTATTGTAGTAGCACACTTTTTTCCATAAGGAATAATTGAATGATGTTGGCCAAATGTGTTTTGACTCAAAAGTGGGCTAGGTTAGGCCTAGGCCTACCTAAATCATGGAAGGCCTAACTTAATTTAGACCTAGGCCAGCCTGTTCTCAAACTAACTTAGTTTTATTTAGGGTACATGCCTAGGGTTGTCTAGCTTATAGCTCATTGGTGGAGTTTTTCTTTTAAGTAAAACACGAAGAGGCCTATTGTAATCTTAAAAGGTCTTTGGAAAAGAATCATTGTTTTAGCCTATATCGGTAGGCCTATCTTACATCTTACATCTTACATCGGCGCTCCTCTTCGCAGTCGTGGAGACCGGAGAGTTGTCAATTTCTTGGAGGGGGTTTGTTGTATTTATGTGTGTGTGTTTATGTGTGAGTGTGTGTGGTTTATTTATTTTAGAGGTGTGTCACATTGTTGTGGTCTTTGTAGAATTCCTTTAAATTGTAGTATGGCCTGTTCAGGAGGTATTTTTTAAGGCTAGTGATGAATTTTTTTGTTTCGTTTATCGATTTTAAGTTTTGAGGAAGAGAGTTATAGAGAGTTGTTCCCATGTATGTAGGGGTTTTACTTGTTCTGTGTAGTCTGTGTTGGCCTTGGTTGAGATTTGTCCCTGACCTAATATTGTATTGATGGCATTCTTGTCTGGTTTGTGGAGGATCTGATTTGATGGCGATGATTGTGTCAAGGATGTATTGGGAGGTTAGAGTAAGGATCTTATATTGGATAAATAGTGGCTTGCAGTGTTCTTCATTTTCGACCCTTGCGATGATTCGGACAGCTTTTTTTTGGAGTGTGATGATTTTTTGTAGGTGGGTTTCGTCTGCTCCTCCCCAGGCTATAAGTCCATATTTGAGATGAGATGAAAAGAGTGCATGGTAGGCCGTTATTGCTATTGATGTATTTGTGATTTCCCTGATTCTTCTGATTGCAAAAATTGCCGATGATAGTTTTGAGTGTAGAATTTCTAGGTGCTTTTGCCAGTTTAAATTTGAATCAAGGGTAACTCCCAGGAATTTTGTATGGTTTGCTCTGTATATGTTGTTTTCAGTTTGTGGGCTAGCAGCTTCTTCATTACCGTTAGTTCTGTTTTTAACTTTGAATTCAATGTGCACAGTTTTAGTTTTATTTATGGTTAAATTCATGTCTTGGCTTATATTACTGGCTGATTGTATTATGTTTTCAATTTGATTTGCGTCTTTTGTCATGGGGGCAATTATGGTTGTATCGTCGGCAAACATGATGCATGTGCAGTCGGGGGGGAGGAGTGTTGGGAGGCAGTTTATGTAGATGAGAAAGAATAATGGTCCGAGGACTGATCCTTGTGGTATTCCGGTGATGGTTTTTTTTAGTTTTGATCTGTATTTTGTTAAGTGGTTGTTCGATAGGTATTCTATTTCCACCAATTGTTCTCTGTTCTCCAGGTAGCTTTGGATCCAGCGGAGGGCTTTTCCGGTAATTTTGATCTCTTGTAATTTTTTTAGAAGAATCCTGCGGTCCAAACTGTCAAAAGCCTTTTCTAGGTCAATGAAAATACCGTTTGCTGTTTGTTTTTTTTCCCAGATGTCAGTAATGGAGTTGCACAGCTGGGTGAGAGCTGTGTTTGTCGATTTTCCTTCCCTGAAGCCATGCTGGTTGCTGCTTAGAATGCTGTTTTTTTCCAAATATGATACCAATTGAGCGTTTATAATTTTTTCTAGGTATTTTGATAGAACTGGGAGGATTGAGATGGGGCGGTAGTTTTCTGGAAGGCTGTCGTCTCCTTTTTTGTATTTAGGGTATACTAGGGCTCTTTTCATTGCAGTAGGAACTGTTGATTGAGTAATGGAGGCATTTATGATGTTTAGGAGGGGGGAAATCAGTTCATTTTTACAAAATTTAATGATTTTGTTCGGTATTTCGTCTAGGCCTGAAGAGTTTTTTGGTGGGAGTTGCTTGAAGATTTCTTCCAGTTCTGTCTTTGATATGGGTTGAAACTGTCCCAGTCCTGTTAGTCCATTTATAGGCCTAGATGTAATTTGATTGTTTTGGTTTTGTTCTATTTGTTTGTGTCCTGAGTTATTTCCAGTGTTTATGAATATGGAGTTGAATCTGTTGGCTATGTCTATTGGGTTTGTGGTTTCATTTCCATTGAGATGTAGAGTTAGATTTTTTTTTGTTTTTTCTTTGTTTTTTCGCTCCTTGTTGACGGTCTTCCAGATGGTTTTGTTTTTGTTTGGTGCCTCATTTATTGTTTTCATGATTTGTTCCGATTTATTTTTTTTAATGCTGGTGTCGTACATTTTCTTTAAGTTTGAGTATGTTTTCTTATCCTCTTCAGTATTGCTCAGTATATATTTGTCATGGGCTAGATTGGTCAGGTTTCGAAGCTTGATCAGTTTTTCATCCCAAAAAATATGGTTGGATTTTCTATTGGAGTTTGAGCTAGTTTTGGGGAAGTGTTCATTTATTTTGTCCGTTAGGATTTTTATAAAATTATTATATTTGTCCTCAACCAGTGGAGTCTTGTAGATTTCGTCCCACTTTTGGTCAGTTAGGCTCTGTTTTAGCTGATTTAGTTTGTGTGTAGTTATAGGTCTGACGATTTTTTTAATAGGTTTGTTTACTTGGGATGAGTGTGTTCTAATTTCGCAGCAGACAATGTGGTGGTCTGATAGTGGAGTTTTTAGGGCATTTAATTTTAAATTTGGGAGGCCTAGGTTTGTTAGGCAGATATCAATGCTGGTAATTGAAGTTGGGGTAATTCTTGTGAATGGTATTTTCCCAGCCTCTAGATTGTGTTCTTTCAGGAAGTTTGTAAGCTTTATCGTGTCTGGGCTAGTAGGGTTTAGTATGTTTACGTTGATATCCCCGAGGAAGATAATATCCTTGTTTTTGTTTGAAAAGCTTGTTAGAAGGTGGTCAAAGCTATGCAGAAAGCCATCCAAGTTGGTTGAAGGTGATCTATATGCCCCTATAATGTTTAAGTGATAATTTTTGTAGTATAGTCCCACAAATTCCGATGTTAGTTCCTCGCAGTGGTCGTCTGTGTTGATTTTGGTGAAGTTTGTTTCACTGTTTTGTTTGGTGTAGGCAGCTACGCCTCCCCATTTATTTTTGCATCTTGAGAAATTGCTGATTAGGATATAGTTGTTTATATTCAGGTTTTGCATTTGATCCTGTTTGAGTCCATGTTCAGCTATTAAAAGTATATCAGGTTTTGAAATGTTCAGTTCAAATTCGAGTTGGCACAGTTTCTTTTGTAGTCCTCGCTGAATATTTATATAGATAATTTTTAGGTGTTTTTCTTTTATGCTTATTTGTTTGATCGTGTTGGGGTCGATTTGGTTGTCTTTGTTTAGTCCATTATGGACGGAGAATGGCCTTGCAAGTTTTTTGGTTCTCTATTTGACAGGTTATCAGTGGTGTTTGCTTGATCTGCTGGTTTTTCTGGGGTTGGTTGTGAGTTAGTAGGCCTATTACAGTCTCGAGTTGTAGGTTGGGTTGTTATGAGATTTGGACTGGATAAGTTGTGCTTTGGCCCCTGAACATATGTTTGTTCAGGTGGTGTTATGAGTGGTTTGTCCTGGCTCAGGCTTTTGGAGGGGCTAGGCTCATTTGTGTATTTATTATCATGGTCATTGTCGAGGTAATTTCTATAGGGGGTGGCGGGTGGTTGTTTTTCAACCTCCTGTATCAAGGTTTTTCTCTTGCTAGTTCCATTTAGCCTATTTTGGTTGATAGTCTTAGTGTGTCTGTTGTGGTTTCTGTTGAGTGCGGAGTGCGGGCAGGTTAGGTTAGCTTCTGTAATTATGTGATGTGCCAGGACTGTTGCACCTTTTAGATTAGGATGGATACCATCGGGACGATAGTTGGAGGTGTCGACGATAGCACCTGAGTCTATATAGCTAATCTTAAGTTGCTCACACATGAATCTGTAGGCTTCATTTATTTCTTTAATGTATGTTTCTCTCGTGTCTCTTCTAGGTAGGATTCCATTTACATACCATTCTGTGGTTGGGTGAAGTTTCTGTGCAGCTTCAATGGCCAGCCACAGTGGCCTCATCGCATGATTGGGAGTTTTGGCGTGCTGAGCATTATTAGATCCCAGGTTAATAATTACTTTTCTAGGCATGCTTTTTGTTTCGTCTAGTATCTGGTCTAGGTCTTCGATGTATCCCCCTGGTATAATTTTACTGTCCACGTTTATTTTGTAATTATCCTTGATGATGCTAGCCGCTGCGCGAAGTGTTGAGTCTCCAACAAGAAGGGCTTTTGGTTGCGTGTTTTCTATTTCTTCTGGGGTGCATTTACAGGATCTACTTGACCTGGATTTGTTGTTGTTGTTGAGGTTTGTTTTGTTATAGGCGTTTGATTTTTGGATCAAGAAAGGTCCTCCATCTGGGGATATTGTGGTGTTTGTGTGTTCGTAGCTTCCCTGTACAAGTTCGGAGGCCGCTTTTTCACCCCGCAGTTGGGGGTCGTGGAGGCGAGGGGTTTCTGGTAACTTAAGGTGATGTGACTGCCTAGCTAGGGAGTCTGTCAGGCTTGTGCCATTTATTAAGTCTCGAATGGTTTGTTCCATTTTTTGGATAACCTGCATTTTAATTACTACAACTTCAGAGAGTTTATTGGTTTCTGATTTTTGGTCTTCGAGTTGTTTCTGAAGGGATGCAATGTCTTCCATGAGTATTTCAATTATTTTTTTCATTTGATCTGACTGACCACAGTTTTGAAGGGGTTCTGAGTCGGAGGTCATGTCAAGGGTCTGATTGTAGTTGGTCTGGTTGGGATTTGAGTATCTTTGAGTATCTTGTATCTATTTGAGTATCTATTTGAGTATCTTATTTTGAGTATCTTAGGCTAACTTACCTCTTGCCTAAGGGCCTCAACTTTACCAAGAAAAAATTTACAGTACCGTAGGTCTATCATAGTAATCTCATTAAACATCTCGTTAAAACAGCATTTTTCCACTATTTTTATACAAAATATAAGTAGGCTAACGTCCTGAATTAAAAAATGACTAAGTTAGTTTTCTCCGTAAAAGTCATAAGCTACCTGTTAGCCAATCTTTAACCTAATTTAGGCCTAGGCGTACCCCTAAGTTACAAAAACTCGGTAGGCTACCTATACTTTAGCATTAGGCCTATACGGTACTACCCTTACAGGCTACAGCGTGCTGCGGGGGTTGGGTTATCATAAATAGAAAGTACCTATTGACTCATCTGGCATCATTCGATTCGTAACGAAACGAGGAAATGCCTTCAAATACTGGTGTAAGGTATATATTTATGATATCCTAACCTAACATAGCCCAACCGCCGCTGCACAAACTTTGTAAAATATGTGGCCTCCGTATATAATACCAAGGTTGTTAACTCAACAAAAACTAAACCGTAAACTTTACTTAATCCAACCTTCCATAACTTAGTAAGTTAATCTTTTAGCGACTAGGTCTCATGGTAAGAATTAGACCTGGGACCGATTTACTTTTTCGTTTTGAGGTCCCCAGAGGCCAAGAAGCGGAAGAGCGGAGCGGCGCGATTTAGAGCGACAAAATCAAACCTATACAATCAAGTAATAACGTGCACACAAACCGCTGTTGCGAGCGAAGTGGAGCGGTTAACTTTGGAACAGTCTCGTTTGTTTTTCTATAGCGTTTGGGAGCGGAGTGGGCAACTATCTTGTGGACATTTTTAGTTCCACTTTCGGCAGTAGTCCGCTCTGTACTCCCATTCTACCGGAACCTCCTCAAACCTTCCAACCTTCTCCTTTTGAAAGAATGTATTCAAAGACTGAATCAAAGAATGAATCAAGAACTGGAAACAAATGGTGATATTAACCATGTACCTCCCTTCCAGCATTCACTCCATGCAACCACTCCGATCGGTTTGAAGCACGCAAAATTAATGTTTTTAGCCAAGTGTTTTTGCTGTGCTGCAAATTGCGTTCAAACTTACTATGTGATATATTGGAAATGATCACACTCCCGTTCGTGTTGCTCTCGCTAGTGCTACAGCTCGTTCTGGATCGCCCCTCCCGTTCCGCTAGCAATCGCCGTATGTGTGTTTCTACCCTTATGACACTGACAAATTAGATTATTTTCTCGTCGCGCTCTTGAACTCCCTTTGAAATCAATCTCTCGGGCTTCTAAAGGTTTAATCTGAAACTAGTGTACCTGTTGCTCGAATTCGAGCAATTGCTAAGTAGGGTATTTCTACAGGCGTTATTTAAAACAAATAACAGTCATAATTTCTGATGACTTTAAAAATATTCGACTCTAAAGATTATGAAAATACTAAAGATGTACATAACAGATCAATATAATCAACATTTATTGTAAATAGTGTTTTCTACAAATAGCCTTACTCATAGCTGCATTAGTTTTCCAGGCACGTTATGTGTCCAAAAGCCTAACAGCACGACTCCCTTCCCCATACCGCCCTGAGCGACAGCGATCATTGAGATTCACTCTAACCTTTCCTTTCCCCTTCATGGGCAAGTTTTCATCCCTTTTCTTAGTTTTTGTTTGTAGGCCTATCTTATCCAAGACTTATTCATGTTCTGATCTATTTGTCTCCTGAAGTAAACAATTTATAAATACGTGACTCGTGGTTTTTATTTCTCCACATCTACATACTTCCTCTTCTACCATGTGAAATCTTCACAAAATCACCTTAAAATTTTCCATGTCCTGTGACAAACTGCGTTTCATAATGGCCCATCTCCCAATCTTGTTCCAGTCTCTTTCTGATGTTAGGTATATAACCAGCTGTTTCAAATATTAGTGTCAATTTCTAAGTATTCATCTGTTCAGATGTAAACAAACATTTTCTCCCTAAGAATAACATGGGAACTTTGAAGGCCACTGGGGCAGAGCCCTGATGGAATTCCAAAGTTTTTTCGATTGATGGCAAAACTACATGCTAAGACCTTTCTAACGACACCTTGAACATGGTGATCGGTAGCACCACCACTCCAAAACAATTACCGTATGACAAAAAAAATGCCTAGCGTATTAAATATATAGATTTAATCGGAAAGGTCTAAATATGTCAGTATTAAAATGTTAGATGTTGATTGTTGTTATGAAAAGGCCAAGTTGTTAAACCAAACTATATACTGTGGTTTCAGATATAAATGCAAAATTTAGGAAATCCTCATTTTAGCCTATTTTAGAAATCAAACCTTAGTTATATGCCCTAGGCTCTAATTGTGAAATAAAGTTTTTTTTCATATAATTTTTAAACATAATTATCAGATAGTAAGCCTTTCACATCTAATTTTACCAAGCGAAACAAACAAACTTAAGGTTAACAATATCGTAATAAGTTACTTCTTTTTGTCGTAGGCCTAAAAATTAGGTTTTGTGGCTAAAATCAATAGGGGAAGTGTAGACCAATCATTTCATAAAGCACACAATGAAGCAAGCTTTACCTTAGTCGCATGATAATCCAGCACAAGGTGCCCATAAAACACCACTTAGGTACCGAGCTAGCAAGTTATATAGCCTATAGGCCTACCTACTAGGTGTGCAGTCTCAGGTCCACCAATTTAGCAAACAAAGAGATAATCAAATAAACTTCTTTCTAATTATAATTTCTTATAAAAAAGTAATAAGTTACATTTCAACAAAACAAGTTAAGGAAAACCTTTAATGATCAATTCAGTACTTCATCATAAGTTTGGAATGCCGTTTACTGTTCTATCTTGTATAAGCTTGTAACTATTCATAGTGAAAATGGTTCAATTAGCAAGCCCCCAATAGTTATTATTAAATCTTGACAATGGTAGATAAGTCAGGATAGGCCTACATAATTAGGGCCAAATTAGGATACAGTATCTTCAAGGTAGGCTTTTAAAGTGTCGGCAAATTAGTATTACCTATGATGTCAGCTGCAGTACACTATGCCAACATTACATGGGTAGGCCTGCAGAGGTCCAAAGATGAATTTGATGTATCACCAGTCCCTAATTTCAAACTTTAGTCAAAATCCTTCTGCTGAACTATGAGAAAGATTTTAACAACAAACCCACTAACACACAATATGCATAATTGTATTAGAGTTTAGGATTTGCTACTATTTTATTTTAATGACAGCCACTTAAGTTTATTGAAAGAAGATGTTACTTGCAAGGGGTGTACAATTCCAGCCTGTCCATTAGTAGATTGATGTTGGTAGGGGGTACACATCCAGGAGGGTTCAATTCCGAGCAGTACATCAACTTTTTTATATTTTTAATATAATCAACTGGTTTACTGATCACTTGTGCCTACATTAAATAGGCCTAAATTAGGTTACATTATAATCCAAGTGTAGGGAAAGGAACTGTGCACCTGCTGATCATAGACGTCAAATTGACGTCGATGATCAGCTGGGGTACAATTCCAGCACAACTTAGTATCACTCAAACTGCCATTGCCTACTACTCCATTGTACATCTATCTATATATATAATACGTGAAGCCGTTTTTTGTTAACGCAACTCCTCCCCTATTTGTGGACCAATTTCAACGTTTAAGGTGTCAAAAGATTTGTCTCAATATGAAGTTTTGCAATAAGGTTTTAGAATTTTAAAATTCCTACTCTGAAGGGCGTGAGACCCTCTCAAAGGTCGGGTTTTCCCCATAAGAAATACATAGGAGAAATTTAAAAACTAAAAACAGCTGTTTATAAAAAGAAACTCATTAGCTTTTTGGGAGTAAATATTAATGTTTGTAATATTCAGTAGGTTAATACCAAGTTAAACCGGTAATCAGTTTTGTAGGAAGAACAGAAAATGCCTCAAGTTCAAAGAAGAAATATTGAAAACGTGAGTAGGAGACAATTAATAATAAGATATCTTATGCGTATGAGGAGAGTAGAAATAGAGAGGCCTGGTCTAACAGACACCCATCCAGATACACATTCACTTGGTGATATGTATACCTAATATTTGCCAGTTCTGCTATACATCGATGGTTCTGCTCAGCAACTCACTTTGGAAGTGAAAAAATGTACGAAGCACATAGTGTTGTCACGGTGGTAAAATAAACTTGCCTAATGTCAGATCAAATGAATGCATGCAAGAAATGTTTACTTCTGACAATGACAAAGCAAGATATTTCAAAACATTTAGTATAAACTATATTTAATGCCTTGACTATAGTTCAAGTAGGTAGTAAGATTATACCAAATCTTGGCGGACCTTATATTTTTATTGTAAACTTTTGTATTACTCACTCTACTTCATTTGAGAAAAAACACAAATGGATTGTTTACTTCTAGGTTATGTTTCCAGTTCCTCGGGAAAACTTATACAAGGTCTACTAACTGAATTTACCAACATAATCCAGACATTTCAAGTTAAAAATAAGAAGTTTGCTACAACAACTCATTTGCTATTGAAAGTTTTAGAGGCAATATTAGACCAAACATAAGTGAAGGAATTAGTGTTTATGTATTCAACGATCAAGTTGTTACGGTCAAGTTTATTTTTATGATTTAGGAAAGGCAAATAATATACGCTGTTCAAAAAGAGAATATGAAAATTGCTATCCAAATCATATAGCTACAAGAGTTATCCAACCTATTTCGACAAATGAATCCATACTTTCAAAACGTTGGGACAGGTATTTAGAGAAACTCCACTGAAAAACGTGAGACTGACAGACAACACGTTGAAATATGCTAACCAACTTTCAATGGTGTTGCTGCTTTAGCTAATTCAAAGCAGATTATGACAGTTAAGTTGGCAAAAAATGGACCACATGAAATAGTTGATATCACCTAACTTTTCAGGGTTCTCCACGAATAAAATTTGTTTGATTAGGGGGATGTCTCAAAAGAAATAAAATGACCCAAATTAAATTACTAAACACTGGTTATCAGTAGGCCTAAGGCAACAGTTTTCTTTAATTCTCAATGCTGGAAAAACTTTGTTGCAACATGTTAACTCGAATTGAAGCAGATTGTTTAGCATTCATTAGAAGTTATCAATTAAAACTGAGAGCAGAAATAATGTAGGTGAACCTTGACGACGCAAACAGAGATATTTAAAATTAGTTTCTAACAAGTGTTTAAACAACTCTAAGATGTAGCTACAATTACTCGAATTTAAGCATAAAGTTTTCCTCTGCGTTATGTTTCATACTATGCGGCTCATTGAGCCGCACGGGTTCTCTAGTGGATTTATAAACTTTGATTTAGGTTTACAAAAACATTTATTTTTTAATCAGCAAGCAAAACAAGTTAAGCCTGAAGTTGAGTCCTTCACATAGATAACCTTCTATCATTCAGTCTGATAGCAAATATAGGCCTAGTCGCAGTTTAGCTCTTGTTCTATAAAATGACTAGGCCTACCTAACGTTTTCATCTAATCAACCACCATTTTGAAAAATAAACACATGATTTTTGGCCATTGCTTCTTTCGTTTTTGAGTGTTTTATGTCACCTTGCATCTAAGCCTAAATCCAATCAGCAAACACAACCAAAATACTTCAGGTATGAATTTTATGTGTACTAAAATCCGGCTGGATAACACCCGACTGATCAAATATGGTAAAGACATTTTCTTTAGATATTTTTTACACCAGTATTCAGTAAATATGAACATTTTATTTCATCATCTTTGTTTTACTTAAAACTAACTCTCTTTTCAGCAACATGTGTTTGCTGTCATATTAAATTATTCCTTATTACTACCTATATTGTTAACATATGTTGCATTCAAAATGTAAGTAAAAGTTTGTCCTATTCTCCTGTAACCATTAAATAAGTGTGTTCTTTTTTTATCTCCGTCTCATATATTCTTTAATCTCAATATTTCTCTTTCTCAACAATACACCCCTCTGGTACTTCAAACTATTTACCATTTTACCCTTTCTCATTTTACTTTCTTTTATCTCAATCATTAACTTAACTTTCTTTAATTAATATTTTCCCTTCTCAACAATTCATCCAGTGGTACCTGTATCATCCTACTCTGAATCATGCAACCAGATTTCAGAACTAAATCAAAGGAATTGTCTCTAAGTTTTAAATCTTAAATGTTGTTAAGATGTTAAGATACTAATTATTGGTAGGCCTATAATAATATTTTCATATACTCATAAGTTACCCCCTATTTTTAGGATTTGCCTGTTGAATTTAACTTGGTTGCATCAAGGCTTAAGGCCAGTGTGGTAAAGGCAAGATATGAAGACATGCTAACCTGTTCTTTAACATAGGAAACTGACAAAATTGATTTTGTGTTCTAGCAGACAATGATGGCATACAACCAGGAGGCTGTAGTTACAAGCTCACAAGACGGAGCTGCAGAATGTACTCGGAACACCACAGCTAGTAAGTAGTCTTATATCTTTACAATTGAACCTCGTTAACTCAAACCTGCTTAGCTTACAATCTTCCTTATCTCGTTCTATATTCAATCCCATCAGAAAAACCTGTCATAGAAGAAAATGGGTGTTCTGTCCAGACAACAATAAAATGACCGCCATAAATAAAAGATCCTAAAATAATGCTCTAATTACATTTTTGGACCTCTAATTAACTGTACTGTTAACACGTTCCCTATCGACCGTCACACTCCTCTGTAACTGAGGGATGAGTATAGTTGGTAGCTAATGTGTTAGGGTTAAACATATTTTTAAATGCTTAAAATGTTGATACAACCAATTAATTTTTACTTGGTTTACTTGGTGTGGATTGATCCCTAAAGTAAAATATAGTAACCATACTTAACTCAAAGATTTTGTCTTTATAAGTAAGTTAAAGAGACACATAACTTACCTTAATACTAGAATAACTCTGATCTACTTTCCTTTTTAGTTCAAACTTAATTAAGTTTAACCTCTGTAACTCAAACTATGGCTATGTCAAACAATACGAAACTTGCAAAAAAATTGTTGTTATAGGCCCTAAGCCTATGAATTTCATGTTAGAGGGACTGTACTCCTATTGTTTGTACGCTGTTGACTTAATAGTCGAGTAAAATGGTAACCTTGACGATATCACATGGTTGAATAGTGTAGGCCTACAGAAAGCCATATCCTAGGCCTATTGTTTCTGCTTATTCATACTGATCAAACAGATAGTGCATCGAAGGCAACAGAACTTGTTTGAAATAAGTTTAGTGAGTTGTGTTTTTTAACATGATGTGGCTTCTGTGTAATCATAAACATATGTAAGCTGAGGAAATACTGTACTAGTACTATTTCTTTCTAGTTTCTTAAAATAGTAATAAAATAGCCTAATAATTATGTTCAACTACATAAAATGTTACAGCATCTCAATAAAATTTTGAATTCTGTTTAAATTTATTGTTTATTTCTATTTTCTATTTACATTTTGAGTTCATTTCTACACAAAGTTATCTTTTAATTACCATATTTTACTATTTTGAAAAAAGTGCTCCAATCTCATGTTACAAATCTGATCTTCTAACCGTGGACGACCTGTTGTTAGAAAGTGTAATTAATACCATAATCCAATGGGAAGAGTCTTTTAATTTGATGGTGAGCTTTCAAACTACTTAGCTACCTACCCACTCTATAGCTTCTTATGGCAATAATGATCCCCCCCCCCCCCCAAAAAAAAAATGATGTCCCCTACCTTTGGAACCCTTTTCAGTACTAAAACTGTTTAAGTACATATTTTGTCTGCTTCACAAAAATGTTTACATCTGCTTAAAGTTTTGAGCTGGACATTTTGGCTTCACTAACAGAACTCTAACTACTGTACGACCTTCTTATGTCAGCCACCTTCAATTTGTATCCCTATATAATTATTTTTTGAAATAAATTTTACATTTAATTAAATTGATATAACTTAATTATTATGGTGGTGTTTTGTCTTTATGCTTGTGTAATCAAGTTGTGATCAGGTTTCTGCCATTTTCACACTAACTGATTATATGTTTGCCGTGACTGTACAGCGTACATCTGATGCCAGCTGTAAAACTTATCAGCTGCCCTTGTAGTTTGAGTACTACCTAGTATTTTTTTTGTCTTCCCCTAGGCTAGACCTAAGGGTTGCGGCATTATCACTTAGATAAAATCCTTTGGTGAATTGGCAGGATTTTAACCCGGATGACCTCTTGGCCAAAGTCCTGTGCTCTAACCACTACTCTAACCAGCTCCCTCCCCCAGTCCTACCTATTGTGATGTGTAAATATTTCAAAAAATATTTTTCTCTGTAATAAAGAAAATCATTTGTAAGTATGTTTTAATTTTTTTTTGTTTTATGCTCTTCAGCTAACAAGGTCTTTTTATGCCAGATCAAGAATGTTTGAATTTTTAAAACTTTCAAATAACATTTTTTTTGTTGGATAAATACTTATATTCTTTATTTTCTGTTCCAGTGACGGACATTAAGCCAGAGATTAAGGGCCGCATCTATGTGAACCCTCGGATAGCCAAGGTGTTTCCCACCGTACGTAAGGAGGAGGTATCAGCAGAGCTGGGACTGTACAAGACTAAGGAGAAAGTGAAGGTGGTGAAAAAACAGGTGTTTCCTTGGCTGGTCAAGTTTAACGCCCTGTGTCGCGAGGCTGCAGGCAGTCGCAGTTACCAACGCCTCGACGATCTCATGAACATCTACGTCAGGTGAGCTTTTGGTGTAACAATTGTAGCCATTTCAACTGTACATCCACTACCAAGGGTTGTCCAGTAGTCGGGAAAAACCGGAAAGTCGAGAATTAGTATTGAATTTCAAAATAGTCTTGAAAAGTCAGTATTTAGTATATATTTTGTTGTTTCAGTCGGGAATTTTATAGACCTTGTCAATGACAAAGAAAAACCAACCAAATATGCATGATTTGATTCACAATTACACAAGGCGAGAATCAGATTTCCGTGACTGCGGGAGATGATGATGATGATGTTTAGATGGCCACGGGAGATGTTCATGAACTTGCCGCGATCGGGTAAGATGACGATGACTTTTTCATGATCGAGGAAGGTAATGTTTACAAGACTGAAAAATCTTTTTCCGCAATCATATGTGATTCAACTGTGTGATACAACTTACGAGACAATGTTTACTTTTCTGTGACCGCTTGAATCGATGATGTCTTCATGGCCACGGAGATGATCAGAATGTTGTCACAATTGCGGAAGATGACGATAGTGTCTACTCTACCGCTTAAGATGTTTAAGATTTGGCCGTGATCTTGCAAGAGGATGATGACGTTTTTGTGACCGCGGGTGTCAATGATGGCAATACGTCAGCGAGAGATAATCAGAAATTTTTGGCAGTCGCGGAAGAAGGTGATTATCATCGTAAATACATCATATCTACAAAGCTGAACAATTTTAATCAATATTCCGCGGTGGCGCAAGACGACGCTGACGTTTCCGTAACTGCTAGAGTCAATGATAATGACTACATGGCCGGAGGAGATACATAATCAGAATTTTACCGCCATCGCAGGAAACGATGATAATGTCCACGTAAGACATAAGACTTATTGATCTTTAAGCAAAATTACATGCAATCGATCTTGTCATAAGTACAATAGTATAACATGCTACACTAAGCAAAAATAAAAAATAAGTGTTCATTCTACAAAATTAAATAAGAGTGGCTATTTTAGAAAAACAAAAAACATCATGCAAACTTGATGGAGCTAAAGTCTGCTTCAAAATATTCTTTAAGGCTGTAGAAGGGCCTTACTATCAACCATGCATAGATCACATTCTTAAAACTACCTAAGCTAACATGCTGAGCTGAAAAAGGCAAGCAATTGAAAAGGTCAATACCTGTAGCTTCGAAGGATGTGAGAACCTTGGTCAGTCTTGTGTAGGGTCTGCATATTTGGTTTTGACCTCGTTTCCCATGGTTGTGTACGTGCCTGTGGAGAATGAGTGTGTTTAAAAGTGCTTTTTGGTATGTAAGAAACATGCAAAAATGTACAGGTTGATTACAGTTTGAATTTTTTCCTCCATAACCGTGAGAGTCATGTTTGTTAAGTTGACGTTGTCTATTGTACTTTTGTATTTAATGACAATAAAGATATTTTTACTCGTATTCTTATTCTAGTTGTAGGTTGATCCATATAACTACTAGCATTATATCTTTCTCAGCAGACATTTTTTACTTTTGTCTTATTTACAGGAATGTTGCTGAAGATGTGAAAAATTGCTACAAAAAGCCAAACAGAGCCTCCAAGTTGAAGACAAGGATGAACGATTACTTGAAGCTGTTCCATATGCTGTATAAGGAAGTGAGAAAGGTGAGCACAACAGTTTTGTTGAGGTGCAACATATCCTTAAAGTAAAGAATCTGTTACTGTAACTGTATCATGAACATAGAAGATTCAAAATGAATTTTGGTTATGTATTGGTTTTTATAGTAGAATCACGCTAATCCCAAAAATCTGTTTAATCCAAACATTACTTTATGAAGGAGAAAAATGTATACTCAGGGTAATGAAATGCAAGTAACTTAAATCTTTGATCTATAATCATAGGTAAACAACACATATTACACAAAGGGTGTAGCATAGAGCACAAGGGCCTAGATTTTTTAGGATTTTTTGAGAGGATAGCAGGCTTACCTGAATGGGAAAGAGTCCAAACTGGCACAGGAAACACAAAACAAAACTTTACACTATATACACAAAACATTAGAATATTTCACTGTCACTGACAGCATTTTCAACTAAGGAAGAGGAAGAGATAGTTTTCTAGATGTCCAAAATGGTGGCCAGTGGCAATGTACGTCACTGGCCACCATTTTGGACATCTAGAAAACTATCTCTTCCTCTTCCTTAGTTGAAAATGCTGTCAGTGACAGTGAAATATTCTAATGTTTTGTGTATATAGTGTAAAGTTTTGTTTTGTGTTTCCTGTGCCAGTTTGGACTCTTTCCCATTCAGGTAAGCCTGCTATCCTCTCAAAAAATCCTAAAAAAACATATTACACAAAATTTTTTTTGGAAATTTATATTAAAAATTCACTAATTGTTGTTAATTTGAACTGATTTTAAATTGAAGTTAAATTGAACTGACACTCTGCTCAACTGTCTGTTATATGTAACCCTTGAATTTCATACCGTGATCAAAGATAATTAGCTAAACAATACATTGAACTTGTTGTTAAACATGGCTAGATTTTCAAGGAAGTTTCTGTAAAGATTGTGTCTAAGGTTGGCGTTTAGGGAGGCATGAGACCAACTACTTATGAGGAAGTCTGTAAACACACCGAGAGTCAAAGCACTAGACGCTAGTGGCAATATTGATTCAATCCAAAAGCAGTTAATTGTTGAGTTGACTGTAAAACATAATAAAAGCAACGATGGTGGAGGAAGAACAAAAGTTTGAGAAAGAGAAAAGCGGTTGAGGAAGGGTTATTGTGCACATGCACACCCCACTCGCCACTCTGGCTCCATCTATATCTCAGTTAAAAAATTGCTGTTAAAAATGTTAGTGCTTAGATTATAATCATAGTGGTGCCAAGAGAGTTTTAATATTGAATGTTTTTGCAGCCACTGGAGTTCAATCATTACCTGGAAAGGATGTCAGATCTACTCGCTATGTATCTGGACATGGAGATTAAAGCTTCCAGGTACACTCATACTCACTCTTACCATTGACTTTTACTTAATTAAGACCCCATTGATATGGAATAGTTGATTTTCAGATTTTTTGCAGCTTTGTTTATTACAGGGTAAAAAAGTCCAGGGACGCTTAAATATTTCAAACACTAATAAAGATAGAACTTTAAAATTTGGTACAAAGTTACTGGGCATTGAAATCATTTTAACACATTGTTTAGGATGCCCTACCTCCTCAGGGGTACTAGTCAGAAGAAAATCCTAAAATGTAAGCATAGATTGATATGCACATCAAGTTAAAGACCTTTGCTAGTAGAATTCAATTCCGCAACCCCAAACTCAAATGGACAACCGATTCAAAAATTACAGCCATATCGACCTATTCATACGTTTATTATTTTCTTCCAACTTCTATTGGGCGCCCCTGGGAGGTAGCGTTTAATAGTAATGAAAATTCAATGCATCTTTGAATAGCTGTCATTTTTGACACTTGACACGGTTGTCTGTTTGAGTAGGGTTTGCGGCATTGTATTTAACTTACTAGACCTTATGCTTACATTTAACATTTACTTCTGACTTCTAGCGGGCCTTCACCCTGAGGCTGAGGAAGTAGCACATCTTTGAATAATGTTTTAAAATTATCCTATTGCCCAGTAGCTGTGTGCCAAGTTTTGAAACTCTATCCTTTATCACTTTTTGAAATATTTAACCGTCCTGGGACTTTTTTCCACCCCGTATACTGTATGAAATGAATATTGTTATGAAGGTTTTCTCTAAGAGTCTGTGTTTAAGGCTAATTGAATTTATTTGAAAACAATTAAAGCCGAACTTAGGATTGTATTTAGAGAAAACTTTAAAGGTTAGATTTTTTGTAGAATGATCTATTTTCCACCCATTCTTTGCTGCCACAAATGTTTGATGTGTTCAACATTTGGCAATGATTTAATTGCCTTGGGATCCAATCTCTGTCAGTTTGTACAGATAGTAAAACAGTGAACACAGTAAACCTGTTTTAACCTGGCTGTGTTAAACCGAAACCCAGGTTAACCAAAACCATAGTACAAAAAATTCAAATAAATTATAAAATTATAAATTTTTTATATCGGTCTAATAAAATCTGCAGCCAATTGTACATCGCTGTCACAAGCAATGATAATTAATAGCTAGGAAACGGGAATTGTCCGCCGATGCTCGAGTAGATGGGCCTAAGTCATTGTCGTGGTGAGCTCTTTGAAGATAAGGTTTTGTTTAGAAAACAATTGTGTATGAAAGATATATATATTTTTTGCATGTATATTGTTGTAGATTTTAAGATTACAGTAATTAAGTTATTGTAAAAAACGGTTGTTGTATGTAGGGTAGATTGAACCAAAAGTCTTAAAAGTTTGTGCCATTAATCAATAATAAAAATATAAAAAAAACTGATCCAAAATAACCTTTCCCTTTTATTTTGGTTAATAGTGTTTTACTGTTCTACTTGACTAACTGCAGAAGTTTTAAATTGTTTTTATCTTTTATACCTATAAGCCCATAATGTCTGGTGTAGATTATGGTGTTCACTGTTTTCAACGTCATTTTAAAGTCAAGTAGTTTTTTTTTCATTTGATAAAATCAGCATTGTATTTTGAAATTTATATTGATAGATTAAATTATGTATATGCCTAAATGTTAATCAGGAATGAATCATCATGCCAAATTTCAGCCCAATCCGTCCTGTAGTTTGTGCTTGATTGAGCAACACACAAACTTTCAGATTTATAATATTAGTAAGATATTAAATTATGTATAATCTAAAACAAGTTTATTTTTATTCTTTGTTTTATAGAAGAGGCAAAGAGAATCCTCGGACTATATCCGACAGACTTATGTCAGCTCTCTTCATCTTGTTGGGTGAGTTTTAAAACCATTTCATGGTATTATTCTTGAATTTAAATTACTCCTACCGTCATATTAATTTTTTCATAGTAATTTTATGTACCTAATGTTGTTTTTCCTCTCTTAAAATTAGTGGCTTTAATTTATTCTCAAAGTTAAAAAAGTAGGAAATTTCTCAAAGTTTTGTTGAAATATACGGTATTATATCTGTACAAGCAACTGTGGATGCTAAACTGATTTTCTTGCCATTCAACTACTTAGTAGATCCATTGTCATTTTTATAACTAAGCACTGTACATTTATATTTCATATTTCCTTTGAAACCATTAACATTAAAATAAAAAACTATGAAACTTATGCACTTTGGGTTGAGCTTTTTACATTATTGTTTCATTTGACATTTTTCTGTTTCAGACAATTCAATGAATCATATTCTGAAAGCCATCATCAAGGCGAAATTCTTCATCAAGATGTTTCATGAAATATGCATTCCAATTATCCAGTGAGTATTCTTAGTTTGCAGCTTTTATGTAAATTTAGGCCTGTCGTAATACACTACTAGCAAACCAACACCGTAGTGTAGCAGATTTAATCATGTGTCCCATGATGTAGTGATATCAGGTACAGTTTTCAGGTGGTATACTTGTGTTGAGTTATAAAAAGTTTTGTTATGTTACTCTACTCATTGGGACTGATAGCCTATATTAGCCTTTGAAGCTAATTTTGACTGATAAGTCCATAGTAATTTCATTTAACGGCTTATTGATTAAATCTTCCTTTTTTCAGGCGAGTTCTCAGAGACATCCCAGATGAGCTATCGGACGAACAGTACATACAATATGTCCTGGTCTTTAAAAAATGGAAGGTAAGATTTCTTTGTGGGTGATTTTAAACATTTTGGATTTATAACTTCTAGCGTATATTTCAACATAAACCTGAACATGCATGTTTCATTTCCAAACTCTAAAATATATACTCAGTCCAAAAATTACTTCTTATAGTCAACTTTCCTCAAATTGTTCACAATGTTTATTCCCCTTGTTAAAGGGTCATTAACTGTATAATCGTAGTTTGAAATTCATGTTTTTAACTAGTAATCATCAAAATACAATAATACTATTTTGTTGTACATTTTGGCATTGACAAAACTGTCTATCTAATACAAGTTAATCACCCTTAAAGCTTTTTTAAAAAATAGTTAAAAGATCCACACACCAAGTGCACTGTTGCCAACGTTTATTCCCTCCTATACAATGTTTATACTTTGATATTCTATATCTAACAAAAAACCACTAAGTGGTAACACTTTCCCCGCCAAGTCATTAATCCAAAAAAGATAATAAATCATTACTTTTTCCGCCAAGAAAAAACAATGTAATGTATGTAAGTTTGGCAACTTGGCGGCAGACTTTTGCTTGGTTTTTTTCATTGAAGTTACGTTCGTGGATAATTTTACAAATCAACTTCTCTAACTAATTAGTCCAACTAAGTATAATAATTTCGAGGTAATCAGTAAATATAAAACCATCACTATTACGAGTTTATGAAATGTGGCACAAATAAGGTCAAATTTTGTAAAATAAGCTCTCACCTAGCAATGTACTAATGGGAGAGATACTTGCTCAATGAAACTAGTTTTATGGTATTTTTTAAGTGATCGAGCAAAAGTCTGCCGCCAAGTTGCCAAACTTACATACATTACATTGTTTTTCTTGGCGGAAAAAGTAATGATTTATTATCTTTTTTGGATTGCTGACTTGGCGGGGAAAGTGTTACCACTTAGTGGTTTTTTGTTAGATTTTATTTATTTTTGTAGAAAATTAACAGTTAAAATAAAAATCCTCCTTTCTCTGATATAGACCACGGCACAACTACATCTCATTGAATTTCAATAATATTGTTTGTGTAGAACTAAATTCTACATTTTTGGTCTTATCTGCTTTAAACCGATTAAAAACTTGTTGGCACACGTACCAAAATTACTATTTAACAAACCCCCTGGGCTTAAACTCAGTTTCAAATTTCATCAATGGTCATCTTGAACAACATGAAATAATTAAACCCGTACATCTAAAGACTAGTGTAAATTGAGCCCTTATTAGAGAAGTAAAAATGTAATCAAACAGATTAAGTTTGTTAGAAATAGCATTTAAACAAAACAAATATTGAAAAACTCATCTATCCTAAATTTACATATCACTTTTTAATTGCTTGTTTAACATACGTAGAGTGATTTTCCCGATTGTTTTATTTGTTTTAGTGTTTCAAAACATAAAACAAACCTTAGTACTAGTACTAAGTTTCAAGTTCCTAGGTTTCATATGTTTTAATAAGTAGTATTAAACTGTTAAAAATGACGAGCTGCTGTACCAGTGTAGTGTAATATCGGTACACTGCATTTTTCAATGGAAAGTATCGGGGAATATCACTGCTCTAAGTAATTTTATATAGTAAGTAGTTCAAATCATTCGGTATACCTGAAAAAAATACTTTATAAAAGTTTTAAAATAATTTTCAGCTGTTCCTATGAATTTCTCTAACATTTAAATTAAATGAGATTTAATCGCAGCTGGTCCTTCTTTTGTTTTTATTTTAATCGCATGTTATTTAAATGGGCCAAAATCGTACTTTGAGGGCTTGTCAAGGGTTTATGGGTCAACGCACCGACTTGAGACCCTCAAAAGGCACATCTACATGTTAAGGGCTTTCAAACAACATAAAAAACATTAAAATTGAGCCAGTGGTTTGGGCTGTAGGTCCGTCAACATTCAAGGAGAAGAAGGAGAACACGGAAAATTTGTGAATTTTCAAACTAGTTTTTCTGGCTCAAACACAACCGTTCTTTAAATTCTGTTTTTTTTTTTTTTGTTGAGAATGAGTGCCCCTATCCAGTAGATGAATGATTATTTTAATAGCTTTTGTTTCTTCAGAGCTATAGACGAGTAAAAAAGCCACTTTGTCACGTCATATATATATATACACTGCAGCAGCTGTGTACCGCTGGGGGACTTGGCGGGGCGGATCGCTGCCGCGTTCCTTAATACCACAAAAGATGCCATTGTTGACAATAAGTTATCCTTTAATTTATAGCTTGGTTAAACAGATCGTGTATGTACTATGTTTTAACATAAATCGGTAACAACACCATAGCACTGTCAGTAGCTCAATCAAACTAACTTCATTTTCATTTTAAAATTGGCTTCAGACAAGAAGGGATTATCTATTTCTATTGTTCACATGAAACTCATAAAAGATTATCATAGTACAAAAAGCCTACTTGCTGATTTCAAAGTCAATCAGTTATCTGTTAAAAGAAGTTAGGTCAGGCAATAACAGTTAGTTTCAATCTTGTGACAGGTGCTGGTTGGCCGTAAGGAGGAGAGGCAGGAGATCAACAGGCTAGCTGCAGCGAGGTTGACTCCTCCGCCAGGCTTTGCTGACTTGTACCATGACTCTGACAAGTACACAGGTCTGCTTCCTGTTGTGGCCCGGGGCCGCAAGGATAAGTTCACACTCATGCTTATGCAGGCACCTGGCTTAAGCGTCAAGGATACTAGTGAGGTAAGTGTAATTTACTCGATTCTGGTGCCCGAATATTTCAGTTGGGTCTATGAAATGGAAGTCTGTAAAAACCTTAGCTTATTGTAAACATTTAAATTTGTTTTTAATTACGCAAAACAGTACACTTACGTTTACCCGAGAATAAAATCTAAAAAACGTCCGTGTTATCTGAGATTCTTGGTAACCAAATCAGTTTTGCTCCCAACAACGTTAGTTAATTAGGAGTGTACTGTAAATATGTGAACTACAACTTATTTTTTTCTGGCCTGTGTTGGCTTATTTATTGAAAAGTTCAGAATTTGACCATGTGATGAGTGAACAATGAACATCCCTTTTGTATAATGACAAAAGGTGTTATGTGTGAGATGTTGTGTACACTATAAAAATCACAAGGATTAATCTTTTTAATGATAGCATGACAAAAAAGTATTTGTATTCACATTGAAGGTCCTGTTAGTAAAAGTTCTTTTCAATGGAAATTACATGTGTTCAATTCTCCTATTTATTTATTCTTAGATTTTTCTTATCTCCTGGAATGTTTATTAAAATATTAATGAAATTCTCCACTTGTGTATAAAAAATTGAATATGAGAATAAAGAATTGCCTGAGTAGTTCTTTTCTATGTACTTTGTTATATCATTTGTTTGTATGCAGGGCTATCAACACACCAGTTTCAACATCGAGAGTTCTGTAAAGTCGTTGGATGACCTAGAACTCAACGCTCCTCTGCTCACTGACGAACTCATCGGCATCTATGACAATGATGATCTTAAGGTATTCCAGTAATTTATTTAACAATATTTAGTTTTATTTAAATTGTTCGTCTCATTTTGTGAACTCTCTAAGGTATGCAAGGTCCAACTTATTAGGCACTATGGTCCTAATTATTTTGGCATAGGTAAATCTTCATCTCTAGTCCGGAACAACTAATTTTTCACTGTCTAAGGCCAAGTTTGTTATTGACTGATTAAGTTATCACACAAATTGTTTTCATGTCTACCTAATTAACTTTATTGTAAAATCTTGCTTCCTTTTTGACATTTTCAGACACATGTTGAGACAAAGAGTTGGGTTGTAGAAAGTGTAAATTAATAAGTAAAAATATTTGTAATTGTATGTGAATCTTTGGTTTCAGAGTGAAAGGTGTACAACCAATAACTTAAAGGAAATGTGGACACAACTTGATGAACTTGAAGTAAATGGTCTTGAGCAACAAGTAATGGCCGACCTGTTTGAGGAAGAATTCACTGCCAAACTCAGGAAGCGACAGGAGGCAGAGGAAAAGCTTAGGCTGGAAAAAGCGGCTCGTAAAACTCCTAAGAATAAGAAAACTTCCAAGCTTTTTGAAAACAAAGCCATGTCTTCACATTCCTGCGTACACAGTACAATACCGAGGTCTTTCGGTAGGGTCCCAGCAGGACCCCTATCAACTTCAATGAAGGAGTTTTATTGTAACACAAAGAACCGAAGGTCAGTATCGAAGATGGAAGCTGACAGCCAGAGTCAGGACCCGGAGATCATTGTCATAGACGATGACGATGACGAACCTACAATCAAGGTGGAACCTGAAGTTAAGTATGAAGAGTCTGAAGCAGTCAAGAGAGAAGTAACCCAGCCTCCGGTGTTGAGGGCTGTGGTGAGGCCAGAAAATATAGAGCAACTGGCTTCAATCGAAAGCAACTGTGATGCAGAAGAGAAATCTGTAGATGTTCCTGAGGAAGTGAGAGAAAGCCTTGCAGTAGAGGAGACGAGAAATGAAGAGAGTGAGACAAATGACGTGAGTCGGGTTCAGGAAGTAGAGTTTGTCATGGATCCGGCAAAAGATGTTACGGTCGTTGAAGCGGACGCAACCTCTTCAACGATCGCCACATCTTTCACTGAGGCTGGACAAGCTCCTTCTGAAGAACCAAGAGCCACCACGGATTTACTGTTGGAAGAGATTTCCAAAGTCTCGTCTGTGCAAGACAGTGTCCCCCAGCTGTGGATGGATATTGACGGAAACTTACAAAATCAACCATTTGAGGATCTGTTTGACCCCAACGATCCGAACATGTTCTATCCCGACGGACCGGGAGACACTCACAATTGGTCGTTCTCGCATGATTTCATCCTCGGTCAGTACGATGACGATTTGTTCTCCCAATACGAATGCGGGAATACAAACGCGTTTCCAGACTTCTATAATGATCAGCAAGACATGGTCTTCACCGGTGCAGATATTTTCTCCCCTCCTCTGCTGGACATGATGAGGGATGAGCCTGGAGAGTATCAGCTGACTACTCACTGGGAGGACTTGAGTATGATGGTTAGTGAGAGTTATGTGGAAAAGAGTACGAGTCCGGAGAGAGAAGAAGACACCTCAACACAAACGGAGAATGAAGGACCGACAGTCGTGTTTATAGATAAGCGTAAAGGCCGACGGGGCAAGAATAAAAGTAAGGTTAAAGAACCAAGTCCTCCCAGCAAAGAGGTGGAGCCAGTTGAGAAAAAAAGCAAAGAGAAACCTGTTGAAGGTATGTTTTTATTTTTATTTTTTTACTGTTTATTCGAGCCGGATGAAATAGACGTTTCATGCAGTTTCACTGGGGTATTAAATTCATTTTTTGGTGAAATCATACGATGACATTAAAAAATATTGTATATACATTTGTATGCTACTGCTGACACAGACTGTAGAAACTGTGTATGGTAAGAGATTTTTCTTCATTTTTTTACTGAAGAGTACAAACAATAACATAACGTAATAAGTGCGTAAACCGATGAAGGTGTTTTCAATTTGGTCACTGTTACTAACTAATTGAAATCGTTGAAATTTCAAGTGATGGTTGAAAAAATGATTATTTAGCTTCAATAATTTTCTAAAGGCATTTAATTGTAACACAAAATTATCATAAATTGTCTTAAAAAACTGCAAGGAATGTCTTTGGGGATGCATGCACTTAATGGATAACTTTGGAAATACTAGAAACGGAAAATCTGGAGGAGAAATAGTAAAACACGGTTACATTTTAAGAAGTGATGTATGGAATATGTTTTTAGAATTTTTAATACAAATATCTGGAATATTGACTGGAAAATCAATAGTTTATGTCTTTATACCTTTAACAAAATTTGAACTATACTCTAAATTCAATGTTTTAAAAGTTTTTAATTCACACAAAAATTAAACTGTTGAACTACAAGAAAAACTTCCAAAAATACTAACTACAAAATTGTTTTATACAAAATTGTTAAAATCATTGAGTAATGCAATTTTGAAATTAAAAAGTTTATATTCTTATAAATTTTAAAATTAATAAATATAATTAGTTATCACTGTCATGACTAAAATATTTACTAATGAAAGGAAAACCAAAAGTAAAGTAAATTATTGGAAATCATACAATAAGAAAACTTGAAGAATCTTTGGAAGACATGAAGATATCTGGACGGCTTAATGGCTTCAGGACTCCTCACAAGAACTCCTAAAGTAAAATATAACATTTGAATGAGACATAAACATACAAATAGCTGTTTTTAACCAGCCTTTAAATTTATTTGTAATAGTCAATTTTCACTATTTCCTGAAGTTGTTGTATTTGGAAATGAATGATCATTACTTTATTTGCACAGAAGATATGATGAAATCAATATCAATAATGGATAAATTATTAAGTAAAGTAAATTATTGGAAATCATACAATAAGAAAACTTGAAGAATCTTTGGAAGACATGAAGATATCTGGACGGCTTAATGGCTTCAGGACTCCTCACAAGAACTCCTAAAGAAAAATATAACATTTGAATGAGACATAAACATACAAATATCTGTTTTTAACCAGCCTTTAAATTTAATTGTAATAGTCAATTTTCACTATTTCCTGAAGTAGTTGTATTTGGAAATGAATGATCATTACTTTATTTGCACAGAAGATATGATGAAATCAATATCAATAAAAAAACTTATTTTTTAAATCTGGATATCCGTCTTAACCTAATGAAAATACTGGAAGAGAAGAAACCCAAGTACGACAGCTGTGATGTGAAGATCACACATTAAGAATTACAAAAATTATATATGAAGTATGTATGATAAATTATTTACTCATTTCATGAGATAAATGTTTGTGGAAATAATGTTTACCAAAAATTATTAACTCACGAGAAACCATTATTGAATTAAACATGCCTATTGAAACAGTTAATTGGTGTGGTGGCAATCACACTAGTATTTAATTGTATTTTTACTTTCAATTTTAAAATTGTTCATCAGCAGAAATTAAAAAGTAATCATTTGTATACATTTTTGACTGTAGTTAATTTGGTTTTGTACAAATTTCAAGCTATGCAAAATTATAATTGGCATTTAAACTTCAATTATGAGTACTTTGCATTTTCTATTAAATTAACCTTGATGATCAATTTCACTGATTATGATATGACTTTAACACAATAATTTTTATAACAAAGACAAAAAGGATCGAACAAAAGAAGAGAATGACTTGAACACAATAATTTTTATAACAAAGACAAAAAGGATCAAACAAAGTAAGAGAAGAAGGGACAAACGTTGATGTAGAAAAGGATATCTTGTGGACATCTACACACCTTCAGTTCTAAGGATAAAATCTGATTTGAAGATGAAACTAATTCTTCATTCCTCAAAGAATGAGTCACTCAACACATGAGATGAGCTGTAATAAATTAAAATGTTTACAAAAACTTGGATTTGTTTTTTAAACTAGTAGGTTTTTAATGTCTGTCAAAGAAAGATGAGACAAGTGCATAAAACAATTGTCCAATGTAAAAATATTATCTGAAAAATTTATGAGTTAAGAGTATTTTTAAAATTGACAATTCACATATTTAACTGAGTAAACATCCTGAATAGCAATAAAAATAGACCAGTAATAAAAATAGATCTCTGCAATTTCCATTTTTATTTATCAAATATTTTATTACTGTAATTATTTTGTTGTCAAAATGACTTATTTTGGAACATCCCGAATAGGTTTTAAATTTCCAGTTTTACTGTTTTGAAATATTAAACATTAATAAATTTCAATGATTTACATGGAAAATAAATCCTCAGTAGGCCTACATACAGTCTCAGTCTTCGCAGGAGATTCGCAAGATTGTACTCTTTATATGGAATATACACTGAAGATGCTCAAAATGTTATTTGAAAAACAAATATCCAGAGATATTCAAGATTATGTTGCATGTTTGGAAGATGTACTATAAAATGTATTAAAGACTGAAGATATTCAAGATTATATTCTATATTTATTTTGAAGATATACTGAAGATATCCAAGATTAGATACTATGTTTGTTACATCTGCTGAGGATATTCAAGATTGTTCCCCTTGAAGATCAACTTTAAATGTTTCAGATCTTTATTTTTACTAAACTTACCAATTTGAGATTTTTTATTTTATGGAGAACCATTAAAATTAGTTACGTCCTAACATTTTATTTGCATTTTTTCAAATCATTTAATTCTTAACTTTACAACAGTTTTAATTGTGGATATCCTCTATATAGCTGAATAAAGTAATGGATTATGCTCTTTATTTGGAAGATTGAGAGAAACTGTTAAGAATTCCATATGTTGTGAAGAATCAACCTCGCCAACGTTTGAAGATCACCCAGAGACAACAAGTTTCACAAAACAACAAGTCTACAAGTTTCATCATTAAATTGAAGAATTAATGAATTTTAACAATAAGCTATCATAGCTCAAATACGAATATACCAAAAGATCCAAGGAAGATCAATGAGATGGCAAAAGGGGAATAACCTTAAATGAATATAAATATATATATGAAATATCAAAACATATTGTAGCCTTGATCGAAAGAATTTTAGTTAAATAAAATTCTGCCAATACAAGTTTATATTTTATAGTTCAACAACAGGTTTGAATAATATTTTTTCCCAAAGAAAATTAATAAATTAAAATTTGTTTCTCTTTTCAATCTGAATTCAATAACGTCTGCATTACCTTTTATTGAAATAATTACTTTTTGAGTAACTTTTTCCCAATTTTAATATTTTTTCAATAAAAAAAAAATTTTATTAGCTAAAGTAGGCTACATGTAAATTATTAAAATACTCAATCTATCTTTATTTTCCAAAACCTAAGAAGAATTTGAAACAAAGGTAAGATTATTTCCATTTAAGAATTAATACTAGGATGTTACTATACATATATATTGTAATAAGATTTGCGCACATAAATTTGATAACAAATTATGTGAAAGTTCAAGATATATTAACCTTAGATCTGTTTCAGGTACACACAATTACATTGTACCATATTGATTTGGACTTATGCTGTAGGTAGAACGCAGCATATTGGTTGACAATTGATATGGTACAAAAAAAGTTCCTCGCCTTTCCCGAAGTCCTTTTGCCTATTCCTTTTGAAGCCTCACTCAAAAGATTATTGGTGAGTTGTTAAGGTGTTCTACCACCTATTTTCACATCATCTTCAGAAACTACTAGGACCATCAAGCAATCGTCATCAGGTGATACCAGTATATTCTGGCTCAAATTTTTGTCAGCGACATTTCCTTGGTTGTGACAAAATTCTTCAGCTTGTCTTGAGTTTCTGAAACTTTAAACATTTCCTAATATTATTATTTTTTTGTTCTATATTGGAAGTGTATTATTTATACAGTGGTTTACAATTAATTAATTTATAGTTTTATAAGAGTTCTATACTTATTCTTATCCCTCTCTCTAAATTTTTTATTGATCGTTAAAATCTATTTTCTAGTTCTGAATATTTTGTGTCTATACGTATTCAAAAAAAATAACCAGGTGTGAATGTTATATGTAATTTTACAACGAAGAACATAATTGAGTTTCATATAATCCACTTCTATTTTTGTTGTGATCATTTTTTTTATTGAAGTTATAATAACTTCTAAATTGTATATTAATATTTGCCAAGAATTGTGAAAACACCTACACTAAAAGTTAAAATTGTTATGGTTGGACCATTAAGCTTCTTAACATTTTTACTCCCCCCCCCCCAAAAAAAAATCAGTTATAGTAATGATGTTGGCAACCAAACTAAATTTGTTTGTACCCGTTTACTATCGATACATTATATTTCTACTTGTATGTTTTATGCAAATCTTCTACAGGCTGTTTTCCTACTATGCATGACGATTATCAAGCAAGTATGGATAAGATGTTTCTTTCTCACTGTTTAAAGATGGTTAAAGATTATTTTACTGTCTTACTCTTTCTCTTCTACATCTGTTTTACACTGAAATAAGAAGAATGACATCATGTTCTGTTTTGGTTAATGATTCTCAAACATTCCTTGTGTTGTGGCAAGAGAAACTTTTTACTTCTTTGTCAAATGATTGTAGAGTGACATTTTTCTTTCCCAATATTATTGAATTTTTACATTTTGTCACTTCATGTCCAGTTGAGTACCTATCGCTCTGGGTGTTATGTGGATGAAAATTCACCAGCAAATTAATTTAACAATCTTATGTGCCTTTGAAAATATTTTGATGTGTTCCTTTTTCCAGTGTCTTCAAGTCAAAATGTTCTTGTAACTCGGTTCTTCACATACCTTACATTCCAGTGTCTTGTGATACTTCAAAATGATTATTCTGTGTCTTGGTGAGAAAGAAGTCTCTTTCGACCATTTCACAGGTTCACTTGAACTTGCCTGTAAATCCTGTTTTCTTGGGATTGTCTCAATTGTGCATCATTAGAGAAGTATTTCTTATTGTTCTTTTGGAAGTTCCTTCTTTATTGTGAAGGAACAATGTTACGAGTCTAAAGTGGATCCTTCTATTTATTCTTTATAAAATAATTATATAACCTTCCTTATTCACTCCTTTTCACCATTTCCTTATGTCCAATCCATTCACTGCTGGGGCTGATAGATCGTCAAAACAAAAATAACCAAATAAAATTCAAACTTTCGATATGGACAGATGTACATATCAAACTTACTAACTTTTAAGTCACCCACAATCAAAGCATTCTTTAAACATTGCAAATTGCTGTCAATACACTTTTTATGAGGTTAGTGGCAAAGTGTTCTTACATGCTGACATCATGAGTCAGCGATTAGATAGATTCTATCCTGTCATGGTTTGTAGCTTTGATGTGCAACACACGATAATAAATTCACTGTCTGTGGCAGAAATTGCTAGTGAGAGAGAGCCAAACTTAAAAAAAAAAGAATTGATTAACACCCAATCAAAGAACAGATTCTTTGCAAGTTGCATATATAGTGAAATGCTATTTCAGACATTTGTTAGTTGATTCTATATACCATTGGACTTAGTTAACAATTATTTTTATCTTTTTGAAAAATTTAATGGTACTATTATTGATTTTGATAATTTCAGCCTTTAGCATTGAAAGGATTATACTCGTCTTCTTTTCCTGTTGCATCCTTATCTCTTAAGAGTTAGTTATAATTGGAAGATTTGTTTATTTTCCAGTTTTAATTAACACTATAATAATATCATCATGTGACTTACATTCAGCATCGATTACATTATTTGGGTCCTATTTCGTACTGAAATTATTGATAATGGCAAGAAATATTTTACCAAGCACTATGATGCTTTAATAATTTCTTGAACATATAAATTGTTTTTAAAATGTAAGCTTGTATTCAGTTTTGAATCTCAAATGTTTGGTAAATATCTTTCTTACCAAAAAAATATTTGGTTGTTATTGTTAGTGTAAGATTGATTTCTTGTGTTTCTGTTCCCTCCCCAAACATAATACATTGTTCCCTTTTCATGCCCCTGTTTTTCCTGATTACCTAACTCCTCCTGCTTATCTGTCGGTTTTCTCTACTTCATGTAATTACTTTAAACATAAAATTTCTTTCGGCCAATAGTTGACTGTGTGCACCAGTTAAAAGTTAAAAAAAAATGAGGATAATAACTTTTATTGCAAAACATCTTGCTACAGTTTAAAAAATATACTCTAATAAACAAAACAATTTGTTTTTTTAATTGGGTTTTGTTTAATTTTAAATGTTATATTATGGTAGTTTTACACTAATCATGTTTTTATATTTACCAATCCTAATTTAATTCTATAGAATAATAATAAAAATAAATACTGACCATTCAGTGAACATCAATCAGTGAGGCATTCTATGTACAGGACTATTAGTTTTTAAACGTTTCTAAATTTTAAAAAGATTTTTTTTTTAATGTTGTCTTTTCTTTTATCTATGTCTTACCTTTCTATTTTCAACTTTTGAAACCTGTCCAACTCAATTGCTTTGTTGCTTTATCTCAACTTTATTTTACTTTATGATCCTATGCTTAATCTTTGACTATTTCCTCAGGATGATTATTGCTCATTTATCTCAATTAATGTACTGTTTTGTCTTCCTTCTTGTTGATTTATTATTTATAATTATCTGTCTTCTTTCTCCTAATTCATGTACTTTACAATCTAGTGCTGTTTTATTCTTCCTTCTTCTTGATTTGCCTCTTACAATCACTGTTTTATTCTTTCTTCTCATTGATTTTCTACTTTTGTTGCTGTTTGTCTTTCTTCTCACTGATTTACTTTATAGTTTCTGTTTGTTTTCTTTACTTTCATTGACTTTATATTTTCAATTTTTATTTACCTTCTTTTTTCACTGCTGACTTCTACTTCTTTATCCAATCTTCAACCAACCACAATTAACTATCTCTTCAAACCACATAAATTGCCTTCCCTCAGCTCCTTATCCATCCATGTCTTGATTCCTTTTCCTATTATAAACCTTTCCTTCAACTGTCTATTTGTCTTCTCAATTCTGTAACTGTTTCCTTGTTCTGTCTGAAAAGATGTGAGTAAAAAGTCAAAGAAAGGGCAAAGACGGAAAAGGGTTCACTTTGAAGAAGAGGATGATGAGGAGGAGGAAGAGGAAGAAGAACCTGAGCCAGAACCGCAACCGCAACCAAAGAAACGGAAAGGTCGGCAAAAGAAAAGCGTGGAACCTCCACCCGTCCAACCAGCCTCCCCTCCACCCCAAACTAGTGGTGAGAATCTTTGATGTCTTTTAAATAGCACTGACTTTTGGATAAACTAAACATCCCATCTGTAAGGACCATCTGTAGCCAATTGTTGATTGAAATAGAACTTAGTTTAATAAGCCACTCACAGATTGTGCTATGGTCTAAAACGATATGTCCACCCTTAGTTTTTTTACTGTGATAAATAATATGACATAAAAAATGCTATTATTCGCAGTAAGTTGTACTTTGGCTTTAACAAATTGTCCTTTAGTATGGCTATGTTAAAAAGTTGCCGTATTTAATAGAAATCAGAAATTTACATCAGCTGTAATCTGTCGGCAGCCCAATTCAATTACTCTCTTTTTTATTCAAAACTCGCTTCAACTTTAACATAGGAATGGAATGTCAGATATTGTACATAGTAGTCAATGCTGTTGGATATTGTGTGCTTTCTATTCTATTAACACTACTTCATGAGTGTCTTTGATTTAAAATATGATTGGTGACAAAAGGAGTTTTTTTCTGGGTATTGAAACATTAGACAAACGATGTAATTTTATCCATATATAATACAAAAAAAGTTATGAAAACCATATATATTAATTAGAGTGCACAATTAACCAATAACAAATCTTACTTGATATACTGTATTTATAAAAAAATATATTGCAAACAAAAAGAACAACGCCATAGGAGACACACAAAACTATACTCCGGGAATCTAGTAGCGAGCATGTAGTGCGAGCGGTGACAAACGGAATCGGGCTATGCGACTCTTAAGGCTTCAACTCTTAGGGGTAGTACGGAGGAGAGAATGATGGTGAAATGATGTTTAAAGGGTTTTTAGAGAAAGGCATGTAAGTAACAGTTGGTTACGCTTGAAACTGCCGGCCAACTACAAAACATTTTTTTTTTTTTTTTTGCCTCTTACCGAGCATCTGTATTTTTTGTGTTTTCTAGGACGCAAAAGAGGTCCACAGCCCTCATCTTCTGCTGTCACAAACAAAAAGGCAAAAGGACGGAAGAGATAATTAGGTGAGTGATAAGATCTACTGTTGGACATCAGTATTGACATAGATTTATTATTATTCAGGGCATTGTAGCAGTAACCAAATATTTTTGATTTAAAATAACACAAGTTTTACTTGAGTTGAATATTATTTTGAAGTACTAATGAGGACGATGATCAAAGCACTCAATACTGAGTTGTGAGTTGAGTAATCATTTTTATTTTCTTCAAAACGTAACATTTTGTGAGATTTTTACAGTCAACTAAGAATACAAATTAATGAATATACCGATAATAAATAAACCAACTTATTAAATTCAAATTCAATTGGTTGATTGCCATTAAGTATGTTGTATATAAAAGGTGAAAAATTGCACAATACCATGTTACTATCAGTAAAAACTAAAAAAAATGTTCAAACTTAATGTATAAATTAAAATAAACTGAATAAGTTTGCATTAGCATTAAAGTGGTTTAAAATAAGTTTGAGGAGCGGTTTTATTACAATAAGTTGTCAACTCCCATGCAAGATCCTGTCAAAATCAAGAACAAATGTGCAGGCATTGTGATTGTCTTCCACGATGGCATAGATGTGTTCATAGTCTCCCACAACGGCAGCAACATTATGAAGAGTGAACTAACTTATCAGACAATTTATATGGTGATGACAACAGCCTGCCTAATTGTCACAATTTTGGCATCTGTGTTGAAAATGATACCTTTTAAACTGTACAAATAAGAAAATAAGACGATTTAAAGGAACACGAACCCTGTTCAGCTCTATAATCTAGCTCTGTCCTGTACCATCCAGATTGTGGAGAAAAACACAATGTCCTTTAGTTCATGTTTTTAGTATAAACAATAAAACTACCCTGAACAGTTTTATTTTAGTGTTTCATATTGTATTATAATAACCCCTTTGAACTATTTTGTTTCAGGACCAGCAACTTAAGACTGCCAGTCAAGCACTTTGTAAATAGTTTTAAGAGGGGTTTATTTATATTTTAAAATCTATGTTATTTATAAGGAAGTCTGTCTTTGAGACTTAAAATGTACATAAAATGTACAGAAAGTATTGTATATAATATTTTTAGTATTTTAAATTTTTAACAAAAAATGTTAATTTTTAATATTTGTTTATCTTTGTTGAGCCCTTAAATTTTATTTAGTCTCAATCACAAGGATTATTCATTTTTATTTTATCAGACTATGACAATTGAAGTCAATAGCGTAGAATGGTTGGTATGTAAACGGGTTAACATAATATTATATTTCATGTCTGCTCAAATATCATCTTCGCCATAACCTGATTCTTATACTGTACATATTTTTACACTGTGTACATATTTTTATGACTTTAATTGTATAATATGTAAAAAGATAATCACAATTGTTTCTTGATCAGTTGATTGATATAAAACATAATGTTTTTAATCCGCCCACCAGTTTTTATAATACATTTAAATTATTGCCACTAAATTTCTCAATTACGGTATTACTTTGAATATTGTCTTGTTTTTACGAGTCTTGATTTTATTATGAAGAATTTACTTTACTTTATTAAAACTAAAGGAACTTTAGTTTCAAGTATTGTAAACTTATTGGCTAAGGATATAAAATACATTGAGTGTTTAAATGCTGGCAGCAAGATGGTGGTTGCTGTGCTACAATTGTGTGAAGTTATGCAATCTAGTCCAAGATTTCGGTGCAGCTAACGCTTCTTATCCTCCGATATTTTAAATTGTATATAATTTTGTAAATAAAAGTGTCTGACATGCTTCAGGTTGTACATAATAAATTTTAAAACATTTTATCTTTGTAATAGCTTATACTATAAATTTATTCACTGTGAATAGTAATTGTAAAAAAATAATAATGTAATAGAGCCTGAATTTCAAATTTTGAATGTATAAGTTGTAGATACATCAAGTATAGGAAGTAGAAAAGCACTAAAAAATTGTCACCTTTTAGGTTAAAAGCTTATTTGATCTCATGAATTTGTTTCCTAAAGCGATCATTTCAAGTTCAAGGAATCAAGGTTTTGTAAATATTTTAAAATAGCATTATTTGTCCTGCATTAATTTGATGGTTTCCTTAAAGGACTTATTTCATTCTAAATTTAATATTTTTAAATTGATTGTAGGTTTGAAAATTAAGTTTTGATCTATAGTCTTTATCAGTTTTAAAACAGCATAGGTAAATTTGTTACATTATTTCATTTTGAGCTTGAATTTTTTATTACCTCAATTAATTACTTATAACTTGTTCTATGAAATTGAACACCACTTTTCATTTTATAAATATGCAAATAATTATTGACGTACAAATTCTTAATAAACAAAGGTAATTTAAAATAGAAAAAAATCACCTCGTGTTCAGAAGTTTTTTCTTTAATGATCAATTATATAGAATACTGTTATTCTATGTGTTTTCTCAGGAGTCATTCAATTTAAATTACAACAATTATTAACAAAAACTATTCTGTGGATAAAATATATTTTTCCTACAGTCACCCGACAAAGTTGGCTTCCTTGTACTGTTTATAAATTGCTGCATATTTATACTTTGCCGTACGGTTTATACTTTGTCGTACGGTTTATACTTTGCCGCACATCAGGATTCCAACGAAACAACACAAAACAGCGTGGTTCTATTATGCACGTAATCCGTGTACGCTTGGAAATAAGTTGGCAACACTTAAAGATAATAATACTATGAGCAGCTGATTGACTATTATAACTACAATTTAACCTGTCATTTCGTGTTTATAGTTTCGGTATTTCTGAACTTTCTGGACTTTTCTTTTAAACGTTTTTACATTCCTACGATCTTAATAAACAATAAAATACCTTTAAAGCATTTTTTTTAGGCGCGGAAACCGCGTCAAATTACAAAAACATACGGAACTATATTCTCAAAACGCAGAGCACATTTCTTGCCGAGGAAAAATAGCGGAGTGATACGGACCGCGGGTACTACTTTCTATAGGGCACCATTTGTGTTGCCAGCTGAACCTAAAACGTGTTGTATAGTGTTTGAAAGACTAATTATTTATACGAGAGCACGCCCCGTGGTCGAAAAATCGACCAAAAGTATGTTTTGTGCAAACTTCTCTATTTTCACCCCACACTGCTAAATAAAACATGTGATTGGAATGTCTTCCATTTGTTTTGATTTTCTGTTTATATTTTGTTGTTATTTCGTCATCACCATAGCAACCCATAAAACCCATGTTAATTTTTTAAAATTTCAAATTCATTTTTTGTGCTTATTTTTGTGCCTATTTAGTTTATAAAGGGATTCTGCACACCTACAGGAAAATAGCTTTCTAACGGTATGCGTAGATTTTCTGTACGATACACACGAGCTGAGAAAAAAGGTTTTAAAGAAACATGCTTGCCTATTAATATATAGACTATTAATATATAGATAGATGCTTTAAAGTGACTGTAGGAAAAATATAATGTGTAACACGAGTGAAAAAGGCCTTTGCT